AGAACCGCGAACCTGATTGTGTGCTTTCAGGGAAACTGTGTCCAGTCGTTCACATACTACTTATTATGAAAATATTATATGATTATTAATTATTATGTATAAAATGCTTAATGCGATAGAAAAAAGCACTGATTGTTTCAAATAAAGTAAATCTACTGAAAAAGATCGGATTTAACTGAATGTCGACGTTCCAACGATGATCAAACTGATGAATAAAGAAAAAACCTACCGGCAGTACCCTTGTGGTAGGTCTCCACATCCGTACATAGGCCAGAGCAGTGGATACGGACCGAAGCGATTCATGGAGAATAAGAGCTGACGTATACGTTGAATGGCCTACCACGTACAGGTACACGGAAAAATGGGAACGCGTTGGAGGAAAGAGTGAGAAGAGTAGTAGCGTGCACACCAGTACAGCGAAATATTTGAAAAATCAATATAACACCAGTGAAATGGGGTTCTCCCTCTACTGCGTTGTGGAACGCGAAATCCGGATACTCACGGAGGATAGAAGGCAGACCAATTAAACTCGCGTTCATAAACGGACCGATTGCGTCTCCGATTCTGAACGTTTAGAATCTAGCAGTGCTTTGATATTGCAAGCTTATCAAACATGAGTGAATAAATAAATTATAGGTTGATTCCAAAGTTGCGAGAGAAAAAAAAACAGTGATCATCATCATCATCATAATTCCCAAAACGATCATAGTTAGTACATTGCCTTCAACTAATCGATTTTCTTTCGTTAGAACTGACCGTTTTATGGTTATCGTTTGTTTATTCGAATTAGATCTGAAATAAATATTGTAATAGTCGTTGTATATTACGGTGGTTATCACAACGAGACTGCACCTTGATGTGTAATGGCTTGTGCACCTCTCTGACCCAACGAGCTACATAGGATGGCTTTTACCATGCCTGGAAGCTCGAACGGTAGAGGTTAGACGAAGTCCAGTTTCCTGGACCTCAGGTTGGGAGTTCGACTAGAAATTGCGTTTTAACCGGTAAAAATGATGGAGGAGTAATTGATCCAAGTAAATGGGCCTCCACTTCGCCTCACCCGCTGTCTTGCGGCTAGGTTCTTCTCAGAGCTAAAGGCTTTGGTTGAGAACCCTAATTGTTCTCCTGCATAGTGGCTGAAAACCCTAGAAGTACCCGTCCATCAAACCCCAATGCATATGCATTGTGAGCTTGACAACGATCAGTGATGTCCGCTTCCCTGTATTTCGCTGTACGATGATGATGTGGTGCAAATAGTACACTGAGCAGACCTTTGAAAGCATACACAATCTAGTTCCATAGTTCAGTGTGTATCTCCGTGGAGTGCTTTCGTTTGCCACCTGATCTATCGTTAAAACTAGTAGTGCAGATCCACTGTCGATCAGTCCTTTGGTTGTTCGGAAGAATAATGTCCTGTAATTTTTTTTATTACACACATTTTGTGTGCGTGTGTGGGATGAACAACAGACGAGGTGAACTCCAACAGCCGTGTCGAGACTTGCTAGTCAGTGATGCAAGCCGGCAACCTAAGCCCCGTGGGAATTGAAGTGGCGAACTACATAAGGCCTCGCTAGGTTAGGCGAGGTATTGAACCGGACCCCGGCGAAGCTGCTTACCACCAAGGCGGGGGTGAGCGGGTTTCCATCCGGTGACAGCAGTGAAAGCACTGAGCCACTATCATATCCATACGCTGTCTTTCACGGGTGATTCATGAAACTAGTTAAATCTGATGACTTGTTAAAATGA